TTAATTTATTAGGTGTTTTTATAATTGCTATATAGTACTAAATCAGATCATGGGGGAACAATTTGTAGATCACAGAGTTCTCGAGACGCAAGTCGAGGAGAGAGTAAAAGTAAAACCCAAAACTCCGAAAAGGAAATTCACTAGAGACGATGCACTCGCATGGAAGTATATAATATCCCGGGCTCTACGAATGAACCGTAGATTGACTGAAATGGCGAATAAGAAAGTTTACTTTTAAATTGGCGGTTTTCAAACGGATCAAACTGAGTACAGAAACCCGAACACAAACTAAGATGCAAATTTGAGTCATTTTTATTATTTATTATTTTCCGTACTTCAGTTAATTCCCAGATTTGAATTGGGCATCAATTAAATCAGAATAGAGTTATAAATTAGTTATGAATTAAATATTAAATAATAAATCTATCGAAATATATGTCGCGCTCTCTCCCTCTCTCCCTTTCTTTCACCCTCGCGCGCTATTTCTAACTGCGCTGCTCATACGCCCCTCGCTCTGGCAAAGCGATTTCAATTGCCCTTGACCGTGGCACAAAGATGCGACTGCTGCGCTTTGACATTGGGGCAGGGCAAGGCGAAACGGGGCGAAGCACAGGCAAGGCAGAACGCATACAGGGCGAAGTCGAGGGCAGGGCGAATGCAAGGCGAAGTCGAGTCGAAGCGGGGCGAAGTCAGGGCAAAGGCGACTGTGTATGGTACAAAATGGCAAACAGGAATGTGCGCAACAAAACAGAAATGCCAAGAAATAAGAACAACATCTATGCACACACACACACACAGGCACACACACACACACACTCTGAAACGAGATGCAAATGTCGATGACGATGCCAACTCGTTGACTTTGTCGACGATGACGACCCATATCCACATATTAGAGACCTTGTCGGATGCGCCGGGTTCCCGGCCAAGCAATAAAAGCAACTTCTCTGTCTGAGAAGTGTGTGTGTGAGTGTGTGCGTGGGTGTGTGTGTGTGGGTGTGCGGCTGGKGGTAGAGGGTGTGCGCAGTTCTCGCAGCTACTTAGCATGCAACAATGTGAACAACTTGCGGCTCACAATTATCAAGTAGTTGTTGCCTATAGACACACTCACACACTCACACACACGGACTCCCTCTTGATGCCCTTTGCCTACASTTGGAAATCACTTGCGCTTTTTTATGCCAACTTGAAGCGTCGCATTCATCAAAATGAAAACAATACGAGCGCAAAATCATAAAAAGAGTTTGAATACGCCAAGCGGACTGAAGTAAGGGAGGGAGGAGCTAGAAGATACCCTATATTTTGATACACTAATAAGTTTTGATACTATTCCAGGTAGTTGACTATTTAAGATTAAGCTACAATAACTATCATGATATTAATTATTATCATTATTTCCARTATCAGAATGATTATAATCTTTACTTTTGGCATTATTAGTATGCTCACTGTAATGATCAGGATTATCAATATTTTTACTAGTTACTCTAGTTAGCACTATTATTTCAAATTTATTATTAATTTTCCCCTTTAATTTTCACTTCACATTATCGTAGTTTATATGATCATTTGCATTAATCATTAGTTTTAATAGCATGATAATCATCATAATTATGCCTATTAAAATTAAAACAATATTAACAATGTTAATTATTTTTATAACCCATCACATGCACCTGCATAACATCAAGCTACCCTCCCCATCAAATCAATGGGCAACTGAACATAAAAGCTCCGTTCGCTCTCCGTTCGTCTGCGGCTCTTCGTTCTGTTTCTCTTTGTCTGCAGTTGAACGCAGCCAGGCAAAAGGCAARAGGCAAAACCGCAAAACTAAACACGAACTGAATGCAAAATTCGCAGTCATGCGTCATTAAGCCGCAGCGCGAGTATTGGGGAAGGGTGAGGAGCTTGGGGTGCAGAGGTGGAGCTAAGGCAATAACAGGAGTAACTGCTGCCGTTTCGGGGCACGCTTCGCCGCTCAGTCATTAAGTGAGTCAGTCAGTTGGCAGTTGAAGCTCGGAGCTGCTGACTGACCAGTTGCTAAGTGGACAGAGCAGAGATGGCAGAGGGACCGAGAGAGAGAGAACTGCACAGAAAAAGTGGGCGGGGTAGTAGTTCAGTAGA